AAAGAGCCCAGAATTTTCTCTCTCTCTCTCTCTCTCTCTCTCTCTCTCTCTCTCTCTCTCTCTCTCTCTCTCCCCCATACCCACAGGGTCCCAAGGGTCCTGGGACAGGGCTACAGGTGGGGGAGCTGAGGCTCACCATAGCGGGCAGTGTGATGTTCTGGTTCCACTGGGGGTTGGCTGTCTTCTCCAGGATTTTGCTGCAGAGCTAGGAGACATGGAGAATTGGGGGTGGAAGTCCATGAGGACCTGGGGCTCCACTGCTGGCTGCCCTGAGGGCTGGGCAGTTCCAGAGCCTTAGAACCTGATGCAGTGGGCTCAGACACAGAGTCTTAGTTGACCCAGAGGTAGAGGGAAGTGGGGCATCAGAAAGCCCAACCCTTCTACCTTAAACTCATACCTATGGCTGCAAGTGCTCCTCTCCCACCTCCCATTACAGCCACGACCCTGACTGCCTTTCCCAGGGGCCTCATGGCTTAGTCCACTTCCCTCTCCCCACCAGCCCAGATCAACCTGACAGTTTAGAAGACTGGGAGCACCGGCGGGTTAGAGAGGAGGGAAAGGGGCAGGAGGAGACAGCTAAGAGAAAAACCAAATTCAATGAGAATACACACGCTGTAAGCCTCAGCCATCTCACAGCAGCCTTGCACCAAAGACCAGGCTTGCCACAAACAAAAAACTTAGCAAGAGTAGAAACAGATCCAAGCCAGGGGCTCATAAGCCAACTATATCCTTGGAGTCCATGGGGGAACACCAGGCACCCCAGGGCGTCTGTACCCACACGTGGGGACAGCAGATTCCGTTTGGATTACATCGATTCTAGTGGGCTGTGCTGGCATGTTCATGTGCACAGTTCTTCCTATAGGCCCCGTATCCTGCCACACACAGCATGTTGTGCGTGCTGTCTCAGTTAATGAGCACCTGAGTTAGATCAGGGACTTCAGGTCTCCAGGAGTGAGGATGAAGTCACTACATTCCCTGTCTGCATCCCCTGATCTCCCAGCACCAACTCCTGTTCCCCTTCTTCCCTCCTCCCTGGAAAAGAAGCCTAGGCAAAGCCTGGCAGAGAATTAGCAGAGAGAAGGAGTAAGCAAGGAGACACACATCAAACAATGGGCAAAGAATAGAACACACCTAATGGAACACCAGGAATAGTAAAGCTTAGAAAATGATGCCCGGCCTCACTAATAATAAAAGAACCTTGTGTAAAATTAATGAGACACTATCTCTCATACATCAGACTTGGAAACATCTCCATAAACTGATGACCCACTGTTGGTCAAGGCTGTGGGGGAATCTGCCCTCTCATATTTTGTGTGAGGAAATGAAATCATTTTACTCCCCTAGGGGGCAATTGACAGCTATTAAAATTACAAACACATTTCTGTGGCCTATCTATTCTACCTCTAGACATTTATCCTACACAAGTACCTGTACCTTGGAACAATGACATGTGTGTGAAGTTACTTACTGTGGCATGGACAAGTCAGGTGTCTGCCACTAGAAGACAAGTTGTGTAGATTACTGTTCATCCACAAGATGGTATACTATACAGTTCAGAAAAAGAATGTGGGCCACTGTGTACACAGAGTTGAAACAACCCCCAAGTTTTACATGAAGTAGAGTCCAAAGTGCAAAGAAAGTGGATATAATTTTCAGCTCTGAGTGTGTGTGTGTGTGTGTGTGTGTGTGTGTGTGTGTGTGTGTGTGTTGTGAATGCTGGTACTGACGCCTGAAAAGTTAAGGCCTGAGCACTGTTCCTTTGTATTTCTCAAGGCTGGCACGAAACCACTTGAACCACAGCTCCACTTGCAGGTTTTTGCTGGTTAATTGGAAATAAGAATCTCATAGACTTTCCTGCTGAGGATTGGCTTTGACTCATTATTCTCACATCTCAGACTCCTTAGTAGCTAAGGTTACAAGTGTGAGTTGCCAGCACCCTGACCCAACCATTTGTACTAAGAGAATGAAAGATAACAATCTATAATCACAGATCTTACATATACATAATGAAAGCAAAATGTTATGAAAGGAACTAAATGCAATGGGGGGTCTTTGCAAAGGAAGAAGTAAGTAAATAGATTATTAGATGGGGTAAAAAGCAAGAGGGAGAGGATGGATGGATGGATGGATAGATGGATGGATGGATGGATGGGATAATGATGATAAAGAGAGATTGCCGGGCACTGGTAGCTCACACCTGTTATCCTAGCTACTCCGGAGGCTGAAATCTGAGGATCAAAGTTCAAAGTCAGCTGGGAAGGGAAGTCCGTGAGAATTGTATCTCCAATTAACCACCAAAAACTGGGAGTGGCCCTGTGGGTCAAAGTGGTAGAGAGCTCACCTTGAGCAAAAGAGCTCAAGGACAGCACCCAGGTCCTGAACATAAGCCTCACAACTGACAAAAAACAAAAGAGAGAGAGAGAGAGAGAGATGATAGATGATAGATGATGATGAAGACTGATAGATGATAGGTAGATAGATGATAGATAGATAATAGGATAAATGCATTTGGTAGATTGATGATATCTAATCCAAGAAATACATAACAATTTAAAAAAAAGATCTCCTTAGACACAATGAGAGGCCTTACCCACACTGTCCTCCTTACATGCAGAGCCACTTGGATTCCACCCAAGAAATCTGGGGCCTCTTCCACAACAAGCACTTGAACCCAGCCCCTGGGGCTCCCTCTGAAAGAGCCACTGGCAAGTGAGCATGGAGACTGCCCAGCAGCTGGTCCATCTGTCATGGTTCAGGTCAGCACTGCCTCTGGCCTCCCCAGGTGAGCACTCTGCTTCCTCTCCTCCTCCTCTTCACCCCCTACCTTCACTCTTTTCTTTACTCTCCTTTACTTCCCAGTGGAGTATAATGAGAACAGCCTTTCTGTATGGATGTCTGGCCATCCCTATCCAATACCTAAAAACAAGCATAATAATAATCCCAATTCTAGAATAATAATCCAACAATAATCATCATCATCTAATCATCCCAGTTCCAGAAACTTCCCTAGGGGAAAGTGGAGGGTAGACAAATATTCCCGGGTGTTTGGGGTTGTCACAGAGTTATTTATAAAAGGGGAAAATTGAACATTGTGTGTGGTGGTACATGCCTATAATCCCAGTACTCAGAATAAGAAGGAAGCAGAAAGATTATGATTTAAGTCTATCTTGAGATACATAATAAGACCTAAAACGATGAAAAAGAATATTGAAACTATATATATGCATTATATATGTATGTATACATATAAATATACACACATGTATCTGCTTAGAATATTCATCTATTGGAATATTATGCAACTATCAAAGATTTCAGACCTTGACATGGTACCTCATATTCTTAATCCCAGCTACTGCTGTGGCACAGGTAAGAGGATCATGATCTGAAGCTGGCCATAGGCAAAAGTCTCAAGACCCTATCTGAAAAGGGGAGGGGGGCAGGGCTGAGGCATAGTTTAAGTGATAGAACTCTTGCCTAGCAATTTTGAGGCTTAGATTTCAAAGACTTTTTAATAATCCAAGGAAATAGTCAATGTTAAAAGCAGTTTACAGACTTCATAGACACAATTCTCATTACTCATGGTAGTTAGACTCTACAAGGTCATCATGAAAAATGATGTTAAATTACTGCCAGCCTTGGTCACGTTCTGGTCAACTGGACAACACATAACCTTGTTTCATGTGTTTCTGCTGAAGGGCCCCGGGGTTCATATTCTTGATTCACTCACATGGAACTCACTCTGTGCCTTGCACCTGAGTGAAGCCAGCCCTATGCCTATCTTTTCTGTAAGAGAAAATCTCCGGACAGTACCTCAATGCTGGGCTCTGAAGCCATTGTAAACAGTGGAATCATCAAAGAAAAAGACACATTTATAACATTTCTAGCTGAGAAGGGCACCGCCCTGGGTGGGGTGGTTTGCAGGGGGAAAAAAAAGCAGAAGGAAAGCCACATGCTAACAAGCAGGAGTTGTGTCTAGGATAATGTGAACACAGAAATGTTTCATTTTCCTTTGCTTTGATTGTTTTTTCAATTTCATAACAATGTGTTTTATTCTTACACTCAGGAAAAGAAGGATTTGTTTAAAAAACATTTTTATAGGCAGATTGTATCATACAAAGGAGTTTCATTGTAATATATATATATATTTTTTTTTTTTTGGTCGGTCATGGGCCTGAACTCTGGGTCTGGGCACTGTCCCTCAGCAATCAGCTCAAGGCTAGCCCTCTACCACTTGAGCCACAGCACCATTTCCAGCTTTTTGTGCTTATGTGATGTTGAGGAATCGAACCCAGGACCTCATGCATGCAAGGCAAGCACTCTCTTTTCTTTATTGTGAAATGTACAGAGGGGTTGCAATTACATGGGCAAGGTAATGAGTACATTTCTTTTTTTTGTGAAAATACTGTACAGAGGGGTTACAATTACATGGGCAAGTTAGTACATTTCTTATCAAGCATTGTAGCCTCCTCCTTTGTTTACCCTTCCCAATGAGTACATTTCTTATCAAGCATTGTTACCTCCTCCTTTGTTTCCCCTTCCCATCCCTTCCCATCTCTCTCCCCCCATCCCCCCCAATCCTCATGCCAAAGTTGTAAAGTTAGTTTTTCGATATACCGTCTTGTATATCTCATTGTTGCAATGGGTCCACCTGTATTCCTATTCAAACTATTTGTTTTTTCCCTTCCCCTCCACAAATTATACCAACATCAAATACAGTGAAAACAGGGGTTATACTGTGGGGAAGGGACATACAAAGCAACAAAGAAATATCTTATAAATATGTTAGAAACAATAACAAGAGCCAGGCGCTGGTGGCTCACACCTGTAATCCTAGCTACTCAGGAGGCTGAGTAGTTCAAAGCCAGCCCAGGCAGAAAAGTCCATGAGACTCTTATCTCCAATAAACCACTAGAAAACCAGAAGTGGTGCTATGGCTCAAGCAGTAGAACGCTCACCTTGAGCTGAAGAGCGCAGGGACAGCACCCAAGCCCAGAGTTCAAGCCCCATGACCGACAAAACAAATAAAGAAAAAGAAAGAGAGAAACAATAGCAAGAAAGAAAAAAACATTTGAGTCATTATCTTGGGGTTCATTTTGCCTAACATCAACTTATCTGACCATTTCGGCAAGCACTCCTACCACTGAACTACCTTCCCAGCCCCTCATTGTAATATTTTTATAAGTGCACCCAACAAAAAAGTTTTAACGCTTTATATGAAAGAAAAAAATCGTTTTAAGGCCTCCTGTCCTGTCCTATATCCCCTCCCTTCTCCCAGATATGAAGGCATGTGTCTACACACACACACACAGATCCACATTAGTAACTTGGCCAAATCTTGTTTGGTTTACATCTTGGACAACAGTGCCACCAAGTGTCCATAGGAAGAAATGCAAAGATATCCGAGTAGGATAGGTAGACAAATCCTGAGGCTTTTTAAATTAGAATATAATGAGGCACTCATTGCCTGTGCATCAAATCTGTAATCCTATCTACTCAGGTGGCTGGGATCAGAGGATCCAGATTTGAAGTCAGTGCAGGCAGGAAAGACCATGAGATTCTTTTTTTTTTATTTGTGAAGATACTGTACAGAGGGGTTACAATTACATGGGCAGGATAATGCGTACATTTCTTACCAAGCATTGCAGTCTCCTCCTTTTGTTTACCCTTCACATCCCTTCCCAGCCCCCCCCCCCCCCCCCATCCCAATCTTTCTCCCCCCCCCCCCCCGCACCAACGTTGTAAAGCTCGTTTTGGACATGACAACTTGTACTTCTCATTGTTGCAACAGGTCCACCTGTATCTTTAAACAACTGGTTTTTCCCCATCTCCTCCTCAAGTTATACTGACATCGAATATAGTGAAAGCAGGGGTTATACTGTGGGGGAGGGACATACAAAGCAACAAAGAGATAATCTTATAAGTGCATTGCAAACACATGCATGAAAGAAAAAAACATTAAGATACATATCTAAGGGTTCAATTTCCTGACATCACATTATCTGACCTAGATGCCCCTCAGTAGATGAATGGATCAAGAAAATGTGGTATATATACACAATGGAATTCTATGCCTCCATCAGAAAGAATGACATTGCCCCATTTGTTAGGAAATGGAAAAACTTGGAAAAAATTATATTAAGTGAAGTAAGCCAGGCCCAAAGAAACATAGGTCCCATGGTTTCCCTTATTTGCAAGACCATGAGATTCTTATTTCTAAGTAATCACCAAAAAGCTAAAAGTAGAGCTGTAGCTCAAGTGGTAGAGTGCTCACCTTGTCCAAAAATGCCCAGGCTCTGATTTCAAGCCCCAACACAGGCATGAGAGACAGAGAGAGGGGGAGGGGGAGGAGAAGAGTGAGTGGGAGAGAAAGAGAGAGAGATGGTGACACAAAACCCAGAAAGAAGGACACACCAAATGAGACAAGGTCACAGGAGGTGGCTCAGAGCAGAGAAGAGGCCTGAGAAGCAGAGATGACTCCGCAGGCTGAAGCTATCAGGGAGATTTAAGCTGTCCCTTTTCTACCAGCTCCTTCCCAGGCACCCCAGCTCCTGAGCCTCTCCACAGGGGCCAGGGGGCTTCTTGCCTAAGCCTGAGCACCCATTAGCTCTATCTAACTCCTTGCCTATCTAGATACCTACTCCTCGCTAGAGCCTTCTCTAAGTCCAGACAGAAGACTGCAGAATGGAAGCCCAGGGAGGCCAGGGCGGTCACAAAGGCAGCAGGAACATCTAAGCTATGAGACATAGCTCTCAAAGAAGAAATGTTTGAGGCAAGTCACTCTTGGGTTCAGCCACTGCCACAGCACCCTATGATGTTGGGAATGTAAGAACTAAGCCATCCATTTTCCAAGTCCTTGAAACAAAAACTGTCCAGGAAAACTTCCCATTTCCTTTCTCCTCCATCCATTCCAGCCCCTACAGGGCATCAGAAACAAGACTCCAAACCCAAATCAAAACCTGCACAGTGCCAGGCACTGGTGGCTAACATCTGTAATCCTAGTTACTCAGGAAGATGAGATCTGAGGATTGAGGTTTCCTGCCAGCCCAGGCAGGAAAAGCCGGGAGACACTTATCTCCAATTAACCAGCAGAAAACCATAAGTGGCACTGTGGCTTAAGTGGTAGAGCACCAGCTTTGAGCTGAAGAGACAGTGCCCAGGCCCAGAGTTTAAGACCCACAACTGACAAAAAATAAAAAAACCTGCACAGGGTAAGGATCTACAGAGAGCATTTACAGCTCAGTATGAATGAGCTGAAAATCCAGTTACTTTGCTCATCAGTCATTTTCACAGAGACCCTGTGGTAGGCTCTGAAGAGGGTCAGCCAGCCAGGAGGGGCTCCTAATAGCCAGCCTTAAAATCACGTGAATGGGAAACACAATGATCGACTTCAATAGTCTGAAATAAGAAAAATTGTTGAGCCCATGAGAATAAAGAGACTGGGCAAAAATGCTGTTTACATAAAGATGCAGTTAATAAAGAAAAACTAGGAGGGTAGTAAGAAAACTGCCCTCATGGGTTAGGAATGATGAGTGACAATGTTGTCAGACACCTTGTATCCATATACTGTTTTGTAGAATGGGAACTTCTTTGTACAACTACTTAAAGATGATAATAATAAAAAAATGTTTTAAAATTTAAAAAAACAAAAAAGAGAACTGCCCTCTTATTGAGGCAAAGATCCATGGATGCCTAGAGCTGATGCTCTAGAAAGTATTGAAAGCTGACATTATCCAAAAGAAATGTGCTCTTGGTTGCAACAATGAGAAGTACAAGTTGTCATGTCCAAAACGAGCTTTACAACGTCGGTGGGGGGGGGGGGGGGGGGGGGAGGGGGAAGCTGGGACAGGATGTGAAGGGTAAACAAAGGAGGAGGATGCAATGCTTGGTAAGAAATGTACGCATTATCCTGTCCATGTAATTGTAACCCCTCTGTACAGTATGTTCACAAATAAAATAAAATTAAATAAAAAAAAAAAGAAATGTGCTCTTGGGCTGGGAAGGTGGCTCAGTGGTAGAACGCTCACCTTGGAAGCATGAGGCCCTGGGTTCGATTCCTCAGCACCACATAAGCAAAAAGAAAAAAGCCAGAAGTGGTGCTGTGGCTCAAGTGGTAGAGCACTAGCCTTAAGCTGAAGAGCTGAGAGACAACGCCCAGGCCCAGAGTTCAGGACCCACGACCGGACCCAAAAAAAGAAAGAAAGAAAGAAATGTGTTCTTTACCTGATTGTGTAACAGTAGCCCCTCTGTACATCATCTTTATAATAATTTTAAAAAATAAAGAAAAGAAAGTGTTAAGATGTAGATATCACTCCCGAGGATTTCCCAATTACAAAGGGGGAATGTTTGCTTCTGCAAGAGGGGAGACCTGGAAACACTACCTTAACCAAGGGACTAGATGGTGATCACACTGACAGACAGCAGACAGCTTGCTTCTTGTGTTGCAATATGCCATACAGAACATCACCTGTGATGAATTCTTGGCAAAATGTTGCATCGGAATCTAATCGAGTCGAAAGGCCTAACTTCAGTTGACAGGAAATACAGGAGCCATAAGAATCAAGTTAAATAATACCAAAAGGAAACAAGCAGAGAATCCATTCTTGGGTAAACAGCATGGTCTCTCCCAAACAACATCATGTGATAAGAAAAACAGCCTCAGAGAGCTCTATTGGATGGTCATGAGGAGACATGTCCATGGCTATGGGGAAACAGGAAAAGGCTGGGTCTGGGGGTGGGCATATCTGAAATCAAGAGCTTCATGTGGCATGTTTGATGTGAAAAGAAGAAAAGAGGGAGGAATTCACACAGTTGCATGCACTCTGCCTCTGCTGGTGGAGATTTCTGGAGTGGAGAGGTTGGGGTCAGGAAAGATGACTCTGCTAAGCCAGATACCGGTGGCTCCTACCTGTAATCCTAGCTAGTCAGGAGACTAGCACTTCACTCTGTCCTGTGCCATCTGGGGCTTGTTCACAGGACTCCCAGATACCCCCTGCCACGGGTGGCTCCTTACCATTCTCCCCGCGAAGCTGACCTCCACAAAAGGGTCCACCAAGTTCTTCTTGTTACTGTCAAAGCCAAAGATTTGTTTCACGTTGTCCATCACAGCATCATCCACTGGGGAGAAGGACAGACTGGTCACTGCCCACCAACTGCCCCTTCCAGGTCCCAACTTTCATCCATCTGTCTCTAAGCAGTCTGGGACTTCCTGGGTGAGACACTGGGTGTGGCGCCTCATAGTGGGCTCAGCCCAAGCACTCTCAGAACAGTAGCTCCTGAGCACACTGGGCAGCAGAAGTGGCTCAAGCATGTAACCCAGCTACTCAGGAGGCTGAAGTAGGAGAATCTCAGTGCTAAGCTGGCCCCAGGCAAGAGTGTAAGAGTGCTCACCCAAAAAAGTAATTTCAGAAAAGAGCTGGTGCCATGACTCAAGTGTAAGAGCACCTGACTCATAAGCACATGTTCAAGAATCCCAGTAATACCCCCAAAAAACCTCATTATTTCATTTATTGATGTCATTAAATATAAACAAACACCTCTATGGAAACTTGTAAAACTGTTTGATAGCTTGCTGGCATATGATAACAGTTCTCTAAAATAGTGGCTTACAACCGATGCTCCCCAGGCTCACCTGGGGAACATCTAAACATCACCACCCTGTAACCCCATCCCAAGTTAATCTGAAAGGCTGATCAGGTGCGGTCCTGGCATCTGACTTTTTAAAGCCTTCTCTAGGTGGTTCTGTGAGGCTGGGAATGCCTCCCATGGCCCTGGGACATTCAGTACAGCTTTGTGTTTAGTAACTGCCACACTGGCTTTGCTGGGAGGGTAAGGAGAAAATCACAAGTCAGGTGATCTGTCATCCACTGACCAGTTTCTTGGAACATGGGACTTTCTGTGCTAAAACCAGGGTGGTCCTAGGTAAATAGGGTTGGTAGGCCACCTAGCAGAGCTGTGCTTATCATCTGTGCAGACAATTATCTCAAGGAAACCCTCCCAACATCACATCCTGTACTCCCTGCCAGGGCCTGTCCACCTGAGCTTTCCGCAGAGGGAAAGGAAATCAGTGAGCTCCCTCCTGACAGCAGATGGCGCTACCTCCCCCAGTGAGACCCATGGAAAGTCCTCAGAGTGGGCCTGATAAGACCAAAGGGCTAGGATAGTGCTTGTACCTAGATGCTTGACTCTAACTCTACCAGGTGTGTTTCCTTCCAGTAAGTTCTGATTGCTAGGCTGCAGCTGTAGCTCAGCAGTAGAGAGCATCCTTAGCAACTGTGAAGCCCTAGGTTCAATTCCCAGCACTACCAGGAAACAGAAATTCTGGTTGCTTAACTATTAAAATAGAAAAAGAATGAACAAATAAAAACCCTAGGAAATTTAAGGAGGGTTTGAAGCATCATCCAGACAGCGAGTAGAAAAGCTGGCCAGCACTGGCTAAACAAAGGCAGAGAAGAAGCAGAGGGCTCATCCTTTGGTGTGGGGGGCGGGGGGATGCCGGGAAAGGGCACAGGGACCCACAGCTGGAGACCTCTCCTTCCCCCAGGGAGTAGACTATGGCCTGGCTTGAGTCCACCATCACAATGGCCCAGCAGAAGCTTCTGGCAGGCCTGCACGCCAGAGGGGGCGCCATACTCACTCTGTGGTAAGTCCTCAGCCCTGAAGAGCTTCAGGCAGAAGTGGGCTCCTCGAAGGGCCACACCTGTTGGTCTGAGTAGGTTGCCTTCAATGTCCTCCTTGTCTTCAGAGGGGTCTCTTTTGTCCAGCTACGATGCAAAACAATCAGCTTCTTCCTGCTCTTTATTTCTTTTTTAATCTTCAAGTAGTTGTACCAAGGGGTTTCATTCAACATGTCAGCTTATGAGTATAATGTCACCCCTTTCAGCCTTCTCTCCCATCTCTACCAACCCCACCCATCCTCTCAAGTTACCTTATTCCATAGTTACATCTGTATATTTTATTATATTCATTCATCCTTCCCCTCTCCAGCCTTCCTCTTGCCCATCCTCCCTACTCCCAACAGCACATGTTTCTGCTTTCTGGTATTATTAAACTATAGGTTAGTTGTTTAAAGGCATTGCACCACTACAATCCTCCCCTGCAATCATCCTACTGTCAATATGACTGTGTTATACACATATGACCTTGTATATGTTTCCATATACATTTGTAATTTAGATCTATCTTCCACATATTAGGGAAAACATAAGTGCTTTGTCTCTCTGAGGCTGAGCCTTCATGTACTTCTGAGCACAATGTTTTATGTCTCTCTGCTAAGGTCTCGACTTACCACTTTAAATCATGTTCGAATGGGCTATGACCTCTCACCTCATCCACCTCTCATCAGCACAGTGGGGACAATAGTGCTGACAATAGTGCTGATTCTGCTGGCAGAATCACGTGCAACGGTGATGTAGTTGCATGCAGCAGCCTTCCAACCAACCCCAGTCTCTCCCTGAACCCCCCAGTTATGAAATGACACAGTAGCAACAGCAGCCTAAGCTAGCCACTACATACATGTCTAGGAACATCTATTCACTCACACAAGCATTTACCTAATACTAGGTGTTAACCTAATGCAGAGTAAGGTTGACAGAAGTTCTGGCCTTAGAGATGCAGGAGTCACACACAAATGAAGGCACCAACATATGCTGTGCATTCTGATGGGAACATTAATAATAAACATAACCTCCAACATTTATTGATTTTTCTGTGCCTTCTCATTACATCCTTCTATCACCTGCTTTGAGACACTTAAATGGTCTTTGAGATGAATGGATAGATACTCAAAGTACTGGTCCATAGGTGATTCTCTAGGTACAAAGCCCTAGAATGCCTCTACTCTGTAGATGAGCAAGATGAAGCCTAGCACAGGCTTGGAGGGCGCAGAGCAAAGGAGTTTATACCAACTAGAGGGAAGGGGCAGGGCATCAGCCCTGCTCATCGCAGCTTGAGACCCAGGCATCCAGACAGAGGAGGCATCCCCAGTTGGTAGTGAAGAGGAGCAGAGATCCAGGCAGTTGTACTTGGGCAGCTAGGCCGTGAAGGGGCAGGAGAAAAGTGAGATCTGCCTGGCCCCACAGACTTGCCCCGCTTCTCACTCAGCATACTCTTGACACACAGAAACCTGCTTCAGCATCCTTGCTGTAAAACACTCAATCCCAGTGTGTTCACAGGGCCTAAGTACTCCAGTGCCTAGATTCCTTTTCTCAACAATTATTTCAAACCTTCTTACCACTGACACCTTCCACTACAAACACTTCATAGTTACCGCCTCCCATTTATAACCTCGCTACTGAGGTTCTAGATGCTCATGATGCATTTTCAAGCAATGGAAGTCAGGCTGCAATATGATATACAGAGAATGATCACACTCTTGTAAAAGGAAAACTACACTTGTATACCCTGGAAGAAAGATGTGTGATGCTAATATTAGCTCTTTCCTAGTGGTAGAATCATGAGTGGTTCATTCTTAAAGGGTTTTTTTTTCCTACATGTTGTAGCTCTACAGTTTGCACAATTATCACATGTTCTTTTAAATCAGAAAAAAAGTAATTAAAATAGTTGGGATTCTGTGTCATGCCACCACCAGGTGCTCTGTGAGACACTGTGAGGAAGACCTAGGGAAAGGTACTCACGGGAGCTTCGTCTCCAGGCCCCAGCACACACAGACTGGCTTTCAAGTAGCCTCTGGCCCCAGCAGAGTAATCATCAGGGTCCGAGAGCAGCAGCCATTTCCTGATATAGGCATGCCCTAAAGGAGACAGTATATATAGATGACCCCAGAATCGGAAGACCCCCCCAAGTTAGCAGCCAGGGCAGAAGCCCAGGATGAACCGTAGATGGTATGATACAGGACTCCTCCACTGGAGGAAAAGGTAGGACTCAAACTCTTACAATCCATGAGGCTATGAAACCAAGAGCTCACAACACTGACCAGAGACTGGAGTTATCATAGAATGCCACAGTCATTCAATAAAGGCCTGAAGAATGGATTTAGCTACTCAGGATCATGATATAATCCATACCTGGTGATATTGGGAAGTAAGTATATGTCTCAAACTTTTTTTATTAAAATCTAGATACTTTGAGTGTTTATGCAGGTCAAAATCGGAACTAGTAACAGGACATCTAAAGTGGCTATAAAAGCTGAACAAAAGGACATTTTCCACTTTCACACAAAGTGACCAGAGCAGAGCAGAACTAAAATAAGGAAAGAAATCTGGACTCATCACCAAGTACCCCATCCCTCAGGTGAGCCTAGGCTCCAGCAACCTTTCCAGGCTGATTATTCTTGGATTGAGACTGTTTGGACCTTGGACCCTCAACTGTTTAAGGGTTTGATCCTCCTGAAGGCTAGCTTTGCATAGCAGATGAATTCCTTCCTTCTTCCTACAACCTCCCCCCAAGGGGGGAAAGTGAACTCCCTAAATGAGTGTCCCCAAGAAGCAAAATGCAAGGATACAGCCAAAGGGATGAGAACTCACGGGGCTCTCTGTAAATGGTGCCCACGTCCATCTGAAATCAGAGAGGAACCACAAATCAAACTTCTGCCACTGAAGTGCTAGGCCAAGCACCACACATTAGAAGAGTCCATTAAAAGTCCTGCTTCTGAAGCCTTTGGAAACATAATTCTCATCATCTGGTGCCACATGGATATATTTTGGCTCACAGTTTGGTAAATTACACTGATTGAAGAAAAAGGGTAACAAAATACATCAAAATGGTAATTAGGCTCTCTGTGGGTGGTAGATTTGGGTAAGGTGTTTTATTCTTTTTGTATCTTTTTTTTTTTTTTGTCAGTTGAACTCTGGACCTAGGCACCGTCCCTCAGCTCTTCAGCTCAAGGATAGCGCTCTACCCCTTGAGCCACAACATCACTTCTGCTTCTGTGGTGCTGAAGAATCGAACCCAGGGCCTTATGCATGCAAGGCAAGTGCTCTACCACTGAGCCACCTTCCCAGCCTTTTTTTGTATTTTTCAAATTTTTATTAAAAGGCATAGGTTGCTAGGGAGCTGGTGGTTCATGCCTATAAACCTAGCCACTGAGGAGGCTGAGATCCAAAGAATGCCAAGTCAAATCCAGGCCAGGCAGAAAAGTCTTCAATACTCCATCTCCAAAATAACCAGCCAAAAGCAGGGCTGAAGACATGACAGAGAACCAGCTGTAAGCAAACAAACCATGAGAGCACCAGGCCCTGAGTTCAAACCTCAGTAACAACAACAAAAGCATAGGAGCCAGGCTTACACCTGTAATTCAAGCTACACAGGAGGCTGAGATCTGAGGGTTGTGGCTCAAAGGTAGTCCAGGCAGACAAATTCAAATCTCTAATTAACCAGAAAAAAAAGCCAGAAGTGGAAGTGTGACACAAATGGTGGAGCACCAGCCAAATACACAGATCATCAGGACATTAATAGTAGAAGGCAGAGGACATGGAGTGTTCTGTACATTCCACTCCATTTCTACTGTTTTCACTGTGGACCTAAAACTTCTCTAAAAGGGAAAATTTTATAAGTCATATATTACTTTTATAGTTAGGATTTTTTCCCCCAGTCCTGGAACTTGAACTCAGGTCCTGGGCATTGTCCCTGATCCTCTTTGTGCTCAAAGATAGAGCTCTACCACTTAAGCCCCAGTGCCACATCTCGCTTTTTCTGACTAGCTTATTGGAGATAAGAGTCTCATGGACTTTCTTGCCAGGGCTGGCTTCAAGCTACAGTTCTCAGATCTCAGTCTCCTGAGTAAGTAGCTAGGATTATGGGCCTGAGCCACTGGTACCCACTTAGAAATAATAGTTTTTAACTCAATCTTCATGTTTTCAGGACAAGAATGTAAAAATGTTTTTTAAAGAAAAGAATGTAAAGACTAGAAACTTAAATCATAATTAAGACTTCATTTGTTACAGAATAACATGGGCTCAAACCCACTCCTTTACAAAATGCTTCTCCCGAAAATTACACTCAGGTATCTTCCTGTGACCACTTCCCTGAGAAGCAGGGAGGGGGGAGTCAAGGGGGAAGGAGGAAGTCATTCATTTGGATAGCAGAGGCAGATTAAAAGGAGGCTACTTTCTTTCTCTCCTTTTGATGGGCCCTTGAAGATTCTCAAGGAGACCATCAGTAAGAACCACATGGGTGACCTCACATGGACATTCCGGGCTCATTCACTTTAGGGAAGCACTAGGAGCCTTTATTTTATGTAATCTTCTGAATCGGTCCTGGGGGCTGAATTGGGAAGTCAGAACTTAGTGCTCAGAAGTGGACTGTCCACTTGTGGGCTTCCTGGAACAATAAGCAGGGCCAGGCAGGCTCTCCTCTGGGGTTCACAACCAAATCCCACGGCCCTCACCCCACCCCACAGTGAAAGTGAGATCAGGACAGAAGACAGCTGGGTGGTACTGTACACGATGGACAGGTGAAATGCTTCCTTCTTTCCTAAGTGTAGGGGAAAATAGGAATGAAAAAGAAAGGATTTCTGTGCAGATGACTTGTGACCTGCACATAAAGTATTGAAGGAGAGGAGAGGAGAGAGGAGAGGACAGGGGAGGGGAGGAGAGGAGAGCAGAGGACAGGAGAGGAGGGGAGGGAAGGGGAGGGGAAGGGAGGGGAGAAGAGGGGAGGAGAAGGGAGGGGAGGGGAGGAGAGCAGAGCAGAGGAGAGGAGAGGAGGGGAGGGGAGGGGAGGAGAAGACAGGAGAGGAGAGGAGAAGGGAGGGGAGGAGAGGAGAGGAGAAGGTAAACAAAAGAGAAGGAGGGAGGGAGGGAAAAAAGAAAGGGGGCTTAATTCACCCTATTGGAAATGATGGAAGATGTCCTTCCCCTCTTTCTATCACATAGTACCTTAGAAAATCTGTGAGAACTTTCTCTGATTCTTTGAAATACATCTTTTTAGAAACTAAGTCACTTGTTGCATTAAGCTATGTATGGGATGGATGATCGTTCTCAAATGCCACCTCCAAAATATAAATGATGCATGAAAGGAGTCACCCTCTCCCCTACTCATGCTTGTGGCCAGGGATAAGCTGGTCACCCTACTGCCATAGGCACCCAGCTTCACTATGTGAACTGACCTCCTGTCCTAGAGGTTAGAATTTGAGCCCAGTTGTCTTCATCTGGATAAAGGACCTTAACTAACATTGATGGTCACCCCAATTACTAGGAAAGTCTAAGTTGAACTCTGTGTGACCAATGGTGCCATCCAGTCCTCTCCCTGGAATACCAATTATTGTTTATCTCAAAGCCCAGGCACCTTCTAGAAAGCATGCAGTGTCCACCCACTGGCTGCATGAAAGGCTGAGATTCCCTTTTGTGTATAATCTCTTAGCAGGCTATCTATGATATACAACCCACTCTAGTTAATGCTTGGTCAATGATAGAAGTGCTTTCTTTTTTCTTCTATCTTTGTAGAGGGGACTCTCTCTCTCTCTCTCTCTCTCTCTCTCTCTCTCTCTCTCTCTCTCTCTCTCTCTCTCTCACTGGTCATGGGGCCTGAACTCTGGGCCTGGGTGCTGTCCCTCAGCTCTTCAGCTCAAGACTAGCACTCTACCACTTGAGCCACAGTGCCACTGCTGGCTTTTTCTGTTTATATGGTGCTAAGAAATCGAACCTAGGGCCTTATGCATGCAAGGCAAGCACTCTATCACTGAGCCACCTTGCAAGCCCCTGTAGAGGAGTTTTCTGAGTTGGCAGATTTTATGTAATTTGTTCAAGGAGGAGTTGCAATTGTATTTTCATATCAGGCATGCCTGTAATGCCAGCTAAATAAGAAGAGCCTGGGTGCCAATAGATCATACACAGATACTCAGGAGGCTGAGATCTGAGTATTGTGGTTTGAAGCCATCCCAGCAAAAAAAGTCCATGGCCTCTTACCTCCAATTAACCACCAAAAAATTGGAGATGGAAGTATAGCTCAAGCATTAGTCTTGAGCAAGAAAGCTAAGAGACAGAATCCCGGCCCTGAGTTCAAGCCCCAGTACCAGTACAAGGAGGTGGGGGGAGGGAGGGAAAAGGGTAAGGAAGGAAGGAGAGAGGAAGGCAATCTGAAGTCAGCCCAGGCAAAACTCATGAGGCCCCCTCTGAAAACTACCTAAAGCAAAAAGGGCCATGGATGTAGCTCAAGTAGTAGAGTAATTGCCTGCAAGTACAAGGCCCTGAGTTCAAATTCAAGTACCACTACATAGACCACAGAATCTCAGGAGTGCCTGTCCTTAGTATTGTCCACAGAGCTTCTAGGAACATAGAGAAGTGAGGAGTGTCTTTTCAGGAAGAAGGACAGTTACCCGGAACTCCCCGATGAGAGCATCTGTCCTGAGGGAACGGGAGTCCACCACCTGGAGGGAGAGATCATGGACCAATGAAAGTGTAGCCCAAGCAAGTTCAACCCCACAGCTCTTCCCTCCCAAATACAAACAGCCAACAGTTGACACCCACTCCAGTCCAGAGTCTGTTCTATGCAATGTTTTGTCCTCACAAGCTCCCCATGGATAAGTACTGTGATTACCCCCACTTCCCAGATAAAGGAAGAGAGGCACAGAGGGATTATAGGATATGCCCAGTGTGATCACTTGTCTTAATAGTCAACCTGATGGGATTGAGAAGCACCTAGGAGATTAGTAAAATACACTTCTAGGTATCTGTGTTTCCAGAGATGATTAGATGATGACGTTTCTGACATAGTGCTTTAATCTGTTGACAGAGTCATAATTTGATAGCATTATTGGCAGAGGTGAGGTCTGGTTAAAGAAACTAGGCTACTTGGTGAGGGATGATTCTTGGGGCTGTATCTTGCTCTGGTTTCTTCCTATACATTCTTCCTCTGCTGCCATGAAGTCAGCTGCTCTGCCCCCCAATAATGGACTAAACTGGAAGCCAAAATAAATCTCTCCTCCTTTAAAGTGCTCTGTCACCACTATGCAAAAGTAACTAACACAAATAGCACCTCATATCCACGTAGACAAGACTAGAATCCATACAGTCCAGTGTCACAACCCACAAGTTTAACCACTAGGTCACACTACCTTCCTGACAGGGATGGATGAGAACTAAGGTCCAGAGAAAGAAGATGTTGGCTGAAAGCAGACACATGAACAGATGGATTAAGATGAAACTTAAAACATCCACTACAATAAGAGGTTTCAGGCCTCAGGCCTGAGGTACCCGCTGAGCTGTGGTGGACATTTCTGGAGCCAGCAGAGCTTGAGCTGAATTGTTCATTTATCCAAATACCAGGATTTAACACATCTCTCTAACCTACCTGCACACACTCATGCGCACTGACAATCAATGCACACTTCCATGTACCAATACAGAGACAACGGCACATATATATGCATACACACAGCCCACGGAGAGTGCCATGTCTGCTGAGACATACCGTGATGAAGATGGGCTCATCAAACAGCTCCACGGGTGAGTCAAACATGTTGAAGAAAAGAGTCTGTTGGTGAAGAGCAAAAGGGAGACAAATGAGGATCCTTGATGCCTTAGGCCGGTCAGAGTTGTCACCACCACCCACAAGCCTTCAAGAGTGGGAGCAAGTCCACACAGACAACAACGACTGAGCCCCCAGGATTTCACAAATTCTAGCGTGTTCGACCCCTGCCCTCAAAGAGGATGTCATTTCAAGATAGCTCTATAGGGTGCCAGGGACGGGGAACAGCGGGACCCCTGAGCAGAAATAAGAGTTGGAGTTCTTCTCCAGCTCCTCAGACATACTGTTCAAACCTTGGCACACCTTCTGACCAGAATTGGTCACCACATGGAAACACTGTTGAGTGTTCGAGGCCCTACCAAAGTTCTGGCCTTAATGCCCAGTGTCTCCCACCTCGTTGAAGAGAGGGCTGTTGCCCTTGTGAATCCGAGTCCTTTTGGTCTGTCCAGCAGCCGTGACCTTGACTACAGGTTTGATGTTCACCCCTGGCAGCTGGCGCCCCTCGATCACCTGGACTCTGATCTGAAAGCCAGGAGGGGGCATGAACACGAGGAAAGGGAAGGGGAAAGGGAAAAGCAGGCAGAAATGGGGGATACCCACCACCTGTCTGAGGAGTTCATAATCTCCCAGACTATCTCACTGCTGGCTTCTTGAAACGCTTTTAAAATGGCAACAGGAGGAGCGTTTTAAGTTCAATCATGGGGCTTGGGATGTATCCAGATAGAATAGGGAAGAAGGGCAGAGTGCTCGCCCAATGTGCCCAAGGTTCTGAGTTCAATCCTCTGCATGGGGGGAGGGGGGAGGGGAGAACGGGGAAATATTTTTTTTCATAATTTCCCACCAATGTCCCTGTGTCTATAAAATTCCTTAGCTCCACAGCAGAGCTGTCAGCCAGCCTGCAAAATCACAAGGGTGAAGCCGGGCTCCTGTGGCTCACGCCTATAATCCTAGCTACTCAGGAGACTGAAATCTGAGAATCATGGTCCAAAGCCAGCCCGGGCAGGAAAGTCCATGAGACTTTTCTCTCCAATAAACCACCAGAAAACCAGAAGTGGTGCTGTGGCTCAAGTGGTAGAGCGCTCACCTTGAGCTGAAGAGCTCAAGGACAGCGCCCAGGCCCAGAGTTCAAGCCCCACAACTGATAAAAAAGAAAAAAAACCACAAGGGTAGACAGGGGTAGACAGAGGTAGGCAGACTCAGCCCTTGGGTCCTTTCATTCAGCACAAGCTCCACTGACATTTTGAAGTGGCTTGAAAATTCTTTACTGACAATTATCTCCAACGAAGTGAAATTTACTCATCCAAGTGACCCAAGAAATAGACTTTATTTCTGATTTGTGGTGCTGGTAATCCAACCCAGGGCTCCTGCACATTGAGCATGCTAAGAAAGTACTCTACCATTGAGCAACATCCTCAACCTTCACTAGTTTTGTGTACTAGTAGTGGTTGTTGTTGTTATTTTTAGTTGAATTGTTTGTTGAAGTGTTAGAGATTGAATTCAGGGCCTCAAGCCCTCTATCACTTGAGTGATGCATGCTTCTCTTCCTTTTGCTTTGAGTTGTTTTCCAGACATGGCCTCATACTTTTGCCCAAGATCAGCTTGAGACCATGACCCTCTTGTCTCCATTCTCAAGTGGCTGGGATTACAGGTGTGAGTCACCACACTCAACTCTACCCTTTATTCTTTATCTGAGTAGATATAATGCTTTTTTATATCCTGAGAAATAAATTAAGAATTTTTCAATTGAACTTTGAATAAACCTCTGTGCTTCCAAATACTAGCTCAAATATTTTAAAATACAAAATTTTAAATTATTAAAGTAACACTGGGTGCTGATGGCTCATGCCTATAATCCTAGCTACTCAGGAAACAGATCTGAGCATCATGGTTCAAAGCCAGCTTGGGCAAGAAAGTCTGTGAGACTCTTACCTACAATTAATCACAGAAAAAGCTAGAAATGGAGCTGTGGCTCCAGAGCACTAGCCTTGAGCAAAAGAGTTTAAGGACAGCACCTTGGCCCAGAGTTCAAGCCCCAGGGCCAGTTAAAAAAAAAGTTAATTTTTCACAATAAAAAAAAAGTTAAAGTAATTTTCATAGAAAAAAATAAGATAGTTACTTCTTTCATTTTTTAATCACTGTTATTTATTGACCAACTGCCTTTTGAAAAACAGCATTTTATAGAAGGACATATTCTTAATAATTTTTTTTGCTTTTTTGCTTTGCTGTATTTTCCAAATGGTCTGTGAAAAAAATTATTAATTTTTAAGACAATAAGAACATATCTTGGAAATAATATTTATAGTGGTCATATCCAGAATTTTGACTTGTAGTACCATGATTTAGAGCCAAATAAAATGTGTGATTTGTTGCACCTAATCAAGATTTAAGTTCCTGTTTTTAATTTTCAAAGTAATTCTGAAGACTTAAATAGCACTTAATGTAATAAAATGGAAGACTGTGTAGAAAAATAATAATAAGCAAAGGACCAAAATTAAAAGGCAGTATAATAGGATGGCAATTAGATGTGTCAAAGGGTTAATATTAATAATCTTTATTCTATGAAGAACTTTAACAAATTCAGATTCTATAGGACCTTCAGAAAAATCCCTAGTTTTAAGTAGAGGAGAGAAAAAGAGAGAAGCGAGATGCTGGACAGAGCTCCTCAAGATTCAGACTTCATATGAGAAGCAGATCCTAATTCAGCAGGCACTTCCCTCTCTGGGCAATACCATTGTTAGGCTGCTGGGAATAGCAAGGTGCTAGCCAGTAAGATGATCCCTGGTTAGCAAAAAGAAAATAAAAAGGAAAACAGAAAGCAGCAAAGAAATACAAGATGCAATGGATCTCTACAAGGACTCTTTTTAAATTTTTACTGATATATTTACTCTCTGTGTGTGCATGAACATACATGCACATTTGCACATGTGTGTACCAGTCCTGGGGCTTGAATTCAGGGCATGGACACTGTCACTATGCTTTTTGGCTCAAGGCTAGTGCTCTACCACATGAGTCACTTCCAACTTTTTGGAGTATAATGGATTTCCCTTCCCTGGACTAGCTTTGAGCCAGGATCCTCAGATCTCAGCTTCCCAAGTAGCTAGGATTACCAGAATGAACCACCAGTGCCCAGCTATTTATTTAGTTTTAAGAACAAAAGCTTGGAACTGGGCAAAGGCTTGCTCTGAGGCCTCAAGACACTAACTCCCTGTTTAGCTGCAAACACCAGGGGAAAGCACAGTTTCCTACTAGAAGACATCGAGGATTCCAGCACATCTTCCCTGAGGCTGGACAGGCCAGCGGGGTACTGGGCACCAGCAGCTACTGATGGGCTAAAGTTGGAGACTGGGGTCAGAGGCAATCCAGACATCACCTGGAAGTCCTGCGGCTTGTCTGACAGCAGCTTTCTGGATGTGGGCACACTTTTCTTTCTTTTGCTTCCAGGATGGTAGGGGGGAGGATGGGATGGCGGCTTCCTGGGGGTGATAGGAGCCCCAGGGCCTGGAGCTCCACTCTGATCCAGGAACGGCTCTGCCTCATCTCCTGTGAGCCCCTGGTCTTCAGTGTCTTCCTCTCCTCCTGTGTCTGGGAGAGAGGACCGGGCCCTCATGAGCACCGCTTCCCTGTGCCACTGCCCTCAGACCCAGCCCCACCAAAGGATGGCTGCCCTCCCATCCTTCCAACTTCCTGCCCCTCCCATCCCCACAGTGAGCCAGGATGGATGAGGCAGAGAGAAGGGCAGCTCTGGCCGCTGGCACTTGAAGGCAGTCAGTCCAGTTAGTCAGCAAGAAGACAGAATGGCCCAGGCCCCCCCACCGCCAGCCCTGCAGGATGCATCCTTCCAGCCACCACGTGTCATGGCAGCAGGTGAGATGGTTACAGGTAAGGTCTGAGATCATGTTGGTCCTGGACGTGTCTCACCCGTGGGAGCCGACCACTTCTTTCCAGAGTATCTCGTGTCCACGGTGCTGTCACTGAGCAAGGACCAAGTCTCGGCCCGGCTCTGTCCCCCACCTAGCATGTGATCAGGGCACAGCCCCAGGAGGAGGGACAGGAGGGAGCTGGAGTGAAGGATGTCTACCTATTGCAGCCCCACGCTCAACTCCTGCTTTCCCTGCCCATTAGGCCTGGTATGAAGCTCAGCACTAGCTGCCCTGTCTAGTGGTGAAAGGGAGAGCTGGTGCATCTCACCAACATCCAGGCAGGCCTGGGCACCCCTCTGATCGGCCCACACCTGATTCTATCAGACTCACCTTACTGTGGACCCAAAGTATTTGTGGCTGGCCATCTATCTTCCCCTCTTCCTCCTCTGAGCTTAGCCAGCCCTAGTCCAGACAGGCCGAGGGTACATTCAAGGCAGGAGCTGCTCAGGGTTTCCTGCCATATGATGACTTCTAGTCTTTCTTCAGCATGGGAGAAACTCTAGAACTTTCTCTATAGGCAAATGCTCATTGCTTCATCTGTGTGGCATCCTCCTTCACCCAGCTGGCTGGACCACACAGGGGCCATGCCAGCTTCCACCCCCAGGTCACTTCTGGCAAGCTAACCACCCTGACCTGTCCTTACTCAACAAATCAATGCATGTAAGTGAAGGGTGAGGCAGACACTGGATTTAGCTAATTCAGTACAAATCACTTCACAAATGATCATCTGCAAGCTCAGAGAAGGAGAATGGCCAGCCCAAAGGCACACAGCTACCCAATGACAATGACAAAACTGGAATGCATGTTTCCTAATTTTAGCCCAGGTTTCTTTCAAGGAAAAATGAGCTCTCTTGTCACAAAGGAAGGCTACAGTGAAGCTGGATAGCAGGACAGGAAAATGGGTGGGGGCTCAGGTATCACCTAAACCATCACCCAGGATGTCCATCACACAGGATGGGCATCACCCCTACTTTGTCATACCTTTCTGAGAACTCTGTAGCCAAGGGCCCAGACCCTCCCTGAGCCAAAAGGACTAAAGGAGCATCCTTGTCCCACTTCCCAAAGAAAGTATGCCCACATGGCAGAAGGCAACTCTCAGAACTCTCCCTCTGCCCAAATCTTCTCCTCTCCCTGCCTGGAAAGCCTCCAACTGTGAGGCTGAGAGGCCTCGCTGCTGCCCCTGCCCTGCCATGCAGGAAGTGGGCTCCTCACCAGCCACCAGGTCCATGTCAGGCAATGTCGGGGAGGGCTCCAGAGGAACAGAGGCTGGAAACAGGGGCACAGCTCCAGGGAGTGGTGTGTAGGACACCTGCAAGACCAGCGAAGCCTGCAAGAGTAGAGGGTGGGCAGTGAGTTAGTATCCTGGCTGGACCACAGCCTCCAGCATCCCTCCATTTCTTGCCTATTTCCCGTGGAAAATATAGCTCTGACAAGAGAACTCTAATAACAACAGATGCTGGAGGGGATGTGGACAGAAGGGAATCTTACTGCATTGTTGGTGGGAGTGTAAACATGTTCAACCACTTTGGAAAGCAGTATGGAGGTTCCTCAAAAGACTCCACATAGACCTCCCCTATGACCCAGCAATCCCACTTTGGGGCATTTACCCAAATGTTCACAAATAAGACCACACTAAAGCTACCAGCACAACAATGTTTATTGAAGCATTATTTACTATAGCTAAGATATGGAACCAACCCAGATGCCCCTCAGAAGATGAATAGATCAAGAAAATGTGGTATATATGCACAATGGAATTCTATGCCTCCATCAGAAAGAATG